CACACACACACACACACACACACCCACACATACACACACCCACACACACATACACACACACCCACACACACAGACACACACACCCACACACACACACACCCACACATACACACACACAAGAAGCACCAACCCCTTGAGAGGACTCCACGGCAACACAGCGATCCCCTCCGTCTTACACACTTGGAACGCCTCATACTCCGACTCGCGGCACGCCAGGTTGTACTGTTGCTGCAAACGGGAAAATTCAGCTTAGTTTTAGTAGAGGTTTTACGGCACTCACAACTGCATAAGGTCATATGAGCGCCAAGGTGCGGATGTCAACAGAGAAGTCCTAGCGAGGAATCAGGCTTACCCCACTCATCTCTCTAGCTTCAACAACACAAAGTCTGCTTCGACGATCAAGGCATCCGAGAAATAGCGGGTCACAAGAGGGTGACAAACAAACAAAAGAAGTAGAGGAAAAATGTTGATAGTAAGGATTAGGAAAGAGAAAGCAGCAATTCCCCTGTTGCAGTTCAGGCAGTTATGAGCATGACATTGAATGATTGAATTCATTGATGAATAAGCCCATTTGGTAATTTACAATAACAATTCTACTGTGAATAAGAACAAGTCAATGCCCCCCTTTGGGAGTGGCCTAAAGACTGTTCAGTCAGCGGCACCGCCACGGATGTGGGAACATTCAACAGGAGAGCAGAAAACAAAACATGTAAATTTCTAGGGTCCAAGGACTCTCAAGCAATGGAAGTTACCAAACTTGGACAGCCATTTTCTCGCTAATTTTACCTCTAGAACCAGACAACACTAACCTATTTCAGAACATTTCGACTTCTATTCAACATAGATGGCTTTTTTTCCCGTCAAAAGCAAGGCAAAAGAACAGGCTTTAAGATGATACCAATTACCCGATATGACGAAAAATGGACGAACGCCTGATTCCACCACGTCATGCCACGTATAGACTAAAGTGTACATCACAAAGTGACTTACATACAGAGAAAATGACAAATAGACATGTCACACCGTGATATATATATGACACAGTGACTTGCATACAGATAAAAGCAATATATATATATAGACTGACACGTCACACAGTGATATATATATATATCACAAAGCGACTTACATACAAGCCAGAGCGACAGTACTGTCAGCGACAACATACAGACGTACTTGTAGTCACTCACATACAGATAATGACATTTAACATAGACTACAATACTGTCAGCAACAACATACAGACTTACCTGTAGTGACTCACATATAGATAATGACATTTAACATAGACTAGAGTACTGTCAGCGACAACGACTTACCTGTAGTGACTCACATACAGATAATGACATATAACATAGACTAGAGTACTGTCAGCGACAACGACTTACCTGTAAACTCATGAGGGGGTTCAAACCCAAAGCCTTGGAGGTGTCCACCAACTTCTGCATCTGCCATCCCGACACGTTGTTCATGCCGGCGTAGCGGATCTTCCCACAGCGCACCAGGTCATCCAGGGTCCTCAGGATCTCCTCCGGTGGCGTCCCGTCGTCCCACATATGGGGCTATACAGGGGACAGGAAAAAAGAGTCCTACTAATTGCCGTCCGGAGCAGTTTGGAGGCCGTCATCTCCTACGTGCGAACCACCTATATTCACAAAACCTTCTCTGTCTTTAGTTTGTAGACAGAGCTGCCAACCCATCTCCATGGTTTATAGTAATTACCATGAAGACAATTTGTAATTTCCCATAGAAATTAGTAACAGTGCTCTCATTTTCAAATTACTATATTACAACCAATAAAAATATGTCTTAATTACGGAAAATTTCAAGTGTCTGAACGGGGCAAACGAGAGATTGCAGCGTATACGGTATTATTGTGGGCAAGGCTAACTCGACCAAGTGGGCCAGCTGTTCACAAATACAAAGGCTGGGTCGACAATTTCTGAACTGCGACACGAGAAATAAACAATCGGAGATTGTTGATCTGCTTCGTCAAAGTTCTGGTACAAATCAACTGTCCTCACCAAAAGGTCAATTCTGTCCAGTTTTATGATTTTACGCCAGTTTTGTTAACAAACATAAATTTACTTTTGAAAATCATAAGGCAAGACAATTGTTAAATAAGTCTACAGACGGCTCCGGGCTGCATGGAGTAGGATCGAAAAACCCCCCCCAGAAATAACCATGTAGTTTGTGACTAGGACAAAAAAGAAGAGTGGGTGGTTGGAAGGTGCTCTGGTGTGTGTGGTTTGCTCCTTCTTTCCTATCAAACATTTAGAATTGTCCCGATCTCTCCTCCTTCTTTCCTATCAAACATTTAGAATTGTCCCGATCTCTCCTCCTTCTTTCCTATCAAACATTTAGAATTGTCCCGATCTCTCCTCCTTCTTTCCTATCAAACATTTAGAATTGTCCCGATCTCTCCTCCTTCTTTCCTATCAAACATTTAGAATTGTCCCGATCTCTCCTCCTTCTTTTTTGTGTTTTTTACTCTCTTGTGACACCTCGAATCTTCGGCACTTGCATGACCTTATTGTGTTGCAGAAGACCAACAAAGGCCTGGCAGGATGGGGTTAAAAAGCTCCTGGAACAACACAACATATCTATCACAGACACTACACACCTAGCACAGGACAACATATCTATCACAGACACTACACACCTAGCACAGGACAACATATCTATCACAGACACTACACACCTAGCACAGGACACCATATCTATCACAGACACTACACACCTAGCACAGGACAACATATCTATCACAGACACTACACACCTAGCACAGGACCGGAACCTGCACCTCCCCTCCACATCTTAAGGATACCAGAGGAGAAAAAAAAGGAAAAAGTAAAGTATTGTGTTGCAAGTGCCATAAAATTGTAACGTTAAAAAATGTTTTGTTTGAAAAACAGAAGAGTGTGGAATGTGTAAAAGGGTGGAGAGTGTTTGTTCGTGGCCTATACCCTGACCCAGGGGGAGAAAGATGATGATGATGATGGGAAGCCTTGATGAGAGGCCAGTCATGAGCTTGGAAGTTAGAAAATATCGTTTGAAAGAATACTTTCTCAAGCAACATGGAACATTTTTAGCTTTTGGACCGGTGGCCAACGGAAAGTCCATGTGGAGAACATCTCAACAGCCTTGAACAGGTCGCAGTGACACAGTTATTAGTTTTGTTTTAGTAGAAGTATTACGGCGCTCGCAACTGCATAAGGTCATATGAGCGCCAGAAGATTAGAGGTGTTACAAGAGAGTAACAAACATAAAAAAAAGGAGGGGAGATAAGGACGATAGATGTTTGATAGGAAAGAAGAAGCAAACCACAGCAGAGCACCCGCCAACCACCTACCAGTGTGGTAGTGCCCAGCTACAGCGGGAATTTGTTGGAAGCAATCGACAAAGTAACTAGACAGAATTATATTTTTGGTAGGACAAATTGAAGGTCAGCAGACGGAGAAAATCACTAAACGTCGCGCTGCTCATAAGGATACATAGGCTTATACTGAACTTGTCCGACTATTAGATTGCTTTTATCAATATACAGAAGGGAAACAATAAATCCTGGATTGTTGGTCCCTATATTAACATGTTGAATTATGTCCCTGTAATTGTACTCTTATTTATCTACCCTCACAACAAAGATTGTCTGATCTTAGTGATCTTTACTCACTCCTCCTTCCTGTTTCAATCACATGTACTCATGCTCATTATGATTTATTTAGTCTTGTCAGTGAAGCAAGAGAGGGCAGACCTCATATCTTTTTCATCATTAAATTACCCTTCTTCATCTAGAAACGTAGTTTTTCCTTTTGCTTTATTAAATACAATAATGGCAAACAACCCCAGTGCAACAGAACTGTCTCGGCTACCTGGTAAAGGTCGATGTAGTTGGTGCGGAGCCGCTCCAAACTCCTCTCCAGGGAGTCGGTCATGTGGCGGCGACTCAGGCCTCGGTTGTTCACGTTGTTCTCACAGCCCATGTCGAAGAAGACTTTGGTGGCCAGCACGTACTTGTCTCTCGGCTGCCTGAACCAACGAGTGACAGAGGGAAAGACGGGAACAATTAAAGGTCTACTCGTGACCTCAGTGTTTTCTTCTCCTATTTCCATTTTTTAAAACTCTTTATCCCCCGCAAGCCGCTCCCAGAACCACTGTGCCGGTGAGACGCTGACAGCGGCTCGGGCACATTCCTTTATGATGACTTTGACATGAAATTACTTTTCTGCAATTTAGTGACGTCTTCATCAATTTCGGATTTATTACCAAATATGGGCCACAGCATAGTGGGTCTGTTTTCACTGTTATTAAAAATGAAGATCCAACAAAAAAGCTCTTTCAGTTTGTTAGTGTTTGCGCGTCTTAATCAGCAGCTTGCACTGTATGCTTCCCGGGAAGCCAAGAATGTTTCTGAGTGTTCTAAGGTCTGCTGCGGTAATAATATTGTGTTAAGCGCATAGAGTTTGCTGTAGAGCAGGGTTGTTATGCGCTATACAAATGCTATTCATCATTATTATTAACTGGACAAATGTCTGCCTTTACCTGTGCAGCCCACTGTCAAACAAATTCACTCTATCACTACACTGGCACATTTGTAAATAATTTCAGACCACCAAGAACACTGAACGAGTGTTTGTGATGCCATGCTACACCCAAAATATCCAAACTTTGTACTGTCGTATTGCTTTAGGATCTCAAGTATTGCTTTAGGATCTCAAGTATTGCTTTAGGATCTCAAGTATTAAATAATTATCTCTTATGATGTTCGACCGGTACTTTTGCAGTAGATTGAACTCAAGAAGAAGATAAAAAAGGGGCACACTTACTTTGACAGCCATTTCCCCACGATCATTTCAGAGTTGCCTTTGCCGTAGATGTTTGCCGTGTCGATAAAGTTCCCGCCCCACTGGGAGAAGCGATCCATGATCTGGAAGGCGTCGGCTTCTGTACACTGGCCGGGCAAACCCAGCTGTGAAATAGTTGTAGTTTTAGTAAGAGTTTTACAGCACTTGCAACACAATAAAGTCATATAAGTGCCGAAGATTAGAGGTGTTACAAGAGAGTAACAAACACAAAAAAAAGGAGGGGAAATAAAGACGGTAGATGTTTGAAAGGAAAGAAGAAGCAAACCACACCAGAGCACCCGCCAACCACCCACTGTGAAATATGTGTGTGTGCGTGAGTGTGTGTGGGTTGGGGGGGGTACATGTTACAAGCTGTAAAAGATGTGGAGTACTACCCAGCTATAGACAGCGAAGGATCTTGTCGGTTTGTTAGTGTTTCAGCGTGTGTCACCCACAGCTTGCACTCACTGTATGCGTCTGGGAAGCCGAGAATTATGCGTCTTAGTGTTCCAGGGTCTGCTGGGGTAATAATTAGTCTATAGTTGTAAAGTGCAGGAAGCATACTGGCTGCAGAGTGTGGATGTACGCTATATAAATGCAATTTCTATTAATATTATTATTTATGAATATTATTATCAGAATTATGAAGATTATTATTTTATTTTTATTATTATTAAATTAATTCTGAAATTATTAATATGATCATGAATATAATTATTATCAAATTATTATTATGATCATGATTATAATTATTATCATAATTAAATTATTATTAATATTATTATTATTAATATTACTATTAAATTATTATCAATATATCATCACTATTATTATCATTATTGTTATTATCATTAAATTATTAAATATTACTATTGAATAATAATTATTAATTTAATAAATTATCGTTATTATTAAATTATCATTATCATTATCCTCCTCCAATAGAGGCAAGCACTCACGTGAGAGTCTCCAAAGGTCATGGTCCCCAGACACAAGTTGGACACACGGATCCCCGAGCGACCCAGGAAGGGGTACACAACTCTCTTCTCCGCTGGCACTGCAGACATGATCCTTCTGGGCTGGGAGGGTGTTGTATCTTTTCTGAACCTACCCTCATAGAAACACAGAAATAGCGTGTCGCTTAGTTTGAGTACGGTTTTACGCACGGCACTCGCAACTGCATGAGGTCATATTAAGAGCGTTAAGCGGTGGATGTCAACAGAGAAGTCCAAACAGGGAATCAGACTTACTCTGCTCACCTCTCTAGCCTCAAAAGCACAAAGTCTGCTTCGACTTTCAAGGCACCCCGGAAATAGCAGTTCACAAGAGAGAGACAAACATACAAAAGAAGTAGAGGAAAATGACGATAGTAAGGACGAGGAAAGAAAAAGCAGCAGTTCCCCATAAGTTGTTCCGGCACAGTAAGAGCATGACATTGTTAAATCAGCCCATTTACAATTCTACTGTACATAACATGTTAATATCCCTCTTTTGGGAATGTCCTAAAGACAACTTCACAGTCAGTAGCATTAATAAAATTATAAATAGGGCAGGAGATATTCGCAGACATCTCTGGCCAGCACACAAGAACTATTCGCAGATGTCTCCGGTTAGCTGGCACCAAGGAACTATTCGGAGACGTCTCCAAATTAGATATTTTAGTGCTAGAATCTTATTCGGAGATGATTCCTTTGAGACGAGGCTATTTGGGGGCAGAAGATATTCGAAGACGTCTCTAGTGAGCACCCAGGAACTGTTCGGAGATGCACTCCTACAGACAGATGCACTGCTTTGAGGGGCCAAACTGCATATTGTTAGCTGCAGATCACACATATAGCCACTAAAACTGTCGCAAATCTATTATTTTCAAGAAATTTCAAACCTAACAGCAAAATATCAAATTGTGGGTTAAAAATCTGTAATCTGTAACCCCACAGAAATTTTTACTTGGTCGAGAGAAACAAATAATTTTGATTGGTGTATCTCCGTCGGAGACGTCTCTGGATAGATACTGTCACCTGTGCTATTTGGAGGTGACTTCCCTTCTCTGGGTTACCACGGGGAGCAGTCATTCATTTAACAATCCTGACTGAACTCTTTCTTTCTTTCTTTAACATGCGAGATGGACTTTTCACATTATGAATTGTGAGCTGTACAGCTGACAAAATGAGTTACTTCTCGCAATCCACAAACGGAGATATTGGCCAAAAATCGACATTAGAAGGGTCAAACTTGTAGATTTTTCTATTGAAGCCATATACTTTAAGTATAACATGCCTTTTATTATGTCATACCTGTAAACTGCAAAAACTTCCACCTATAAGCCTGATGTGTATCTATTTCCATAAGGCTTGAATCTGAGAAGTAACTCATTTTGTCAGCAAGCTTCATAATTGTTTGATGTGGATGGCTTTGACCAGACTATTGCTGTAGGAGGGTCCCTCTCTCTGTTATCTGAAGTTGGTCACGAGCCAGTCCAACCCTCGTGTTGTACATAACCACTTTGCAGTAACACAGCCAGCAGTACAAAATACCCCATCTGGTCACCAAGAACAAAACACCCCATCTGGTCACCCATCTAGGAGAGCGACTACAACGGACTTCTTGGGTTTGGCGCAGAACTGCTCCAGGTGAGCAGAACGGATAAATTTCACCGTCGCATCATAGCGCTGGGTGACCACAAAGTGTACAAGCAGCCGGCACACCAGGCATGGCCACCACATTATGATAACCAGGCGGCTCTCTATGTCCAAGTGTTTAGAGGGGTATTTTACAACTAAAAATTGAAATATTAAAAAACTGCATGGAGGTAACTGCCAGTCTTGACAGAACAGAAAGCGAAAATATAATTATTATATTATAATTAATTATCGATGATACGCAAACACTATACTTCAATAACAAGGCTTACTTACAAGTTAAGATAAGATAAGATACATCTTTATTGTCCAGATCCTGGCACATTGGTTTGGTGCTTCACCACGTGTACACACACACACACACACACTCACACACACAAACACACATAGGCTTACAATCACATGCATAATATAAATGAGCAGCAACATAAACAATAATAATCTTAAGCTAGATACGCACTCAATGTTATTTTGATGCATGCTCTAAGGTTGTAAGTATACTTATACAAGATGGTTAAGATGGAAGCATTTTGACAGATGGTGGTAAAAATGACCTTCTATTACTATATCTTTCTTTGTTACAGATCAGAAGCCTAGGTCTTTTACTTCAGACTGATGTTTTTATTTGAGGGAACAAGGGATGTTTGTTGTCTAAAAAGATGGAATTAATTTTTTTAGTGCAAGCTGTTATGTACAGTTCATCCAAGTAGGGGAATGTAGATGTTGAAATTTTACATGCTTTTTATATTAGTCGATTTAATTTTTCTTTATCTAGTTGTCTTGTGTTATGACGCATCCCAGCACACTTTGCAGAGAGAGTGAGCTCTAATATTTGTGGGTAATTGCGAGGGTGTGGTCGAAGCTCGCCGGATTACTCTTCAGTGCGCACGTCTCAACCATTTTTTATTCCTTGCTATTCATAGCCTTCAATTTTCTCTGGTCTTCCCAATTTGTATTTATCGCACCTTTTGACATTATGACGTGTATGCGCACACTTTTGTTGCTACAGCTTGTAGTCATTAGATTTTCCATTATTTTTTTTTACATGTTCCTGAAGAAGCCCCTTACAGGGCGAAACGTTGAACTTAAATTAAATTTTTTAAAATCTATTAAGTCTCAAAGCCTTTCTTAAATTCTCTGCTACCTAAAATGATGATGATGATGATGATGATGAACGGCACGTGGGTCCCTGGCCCCAGGTCTAAAATAATACAACATATCAAACTTACTGCTGCTGCAATCAACACTGGCTGGTGGTCATGGTTGTGGTTGGCAGTAGATATCCGGAGCCCAAATGTCCCATCTTGCTCATATTTTTTCACTCTCATAAACACTGGGCAGTTGCTCTTCAGGGTGCTGAAAGAGAGACAAATATAGCACGGTCAAAAATTTGTGGCGGAACTTACTGTCAAATATCTCCTCAACTATCGAACATAAACTCACCAGGTTTTGCACAGTGACTTGTATCAATTTGTCTTAACAGATCAATATTTTTGAAAACACTTGTTAGCTCAATTCTAGAACATTCCTGACCAAATACTAATAAAAAATCCTAGTGGATGGTTTCTACTTATTTAAAAGGTTAAAAACCGGGACAATAGAGTGATATTGCTTTTAAAAGCAATTCCGTCTTTTTTTTTTCTGATCGGGAGATTATCTTTATTAATTATTGAACGCATGATTAAAGAACTTTTAGTGCAAAAAAGTGTTCAATATAAAATGAATTTTTTGGAACTAGTTTTGCCACTAAAAAGTATCATTGGTGAGCTGTGACGTACCCATATGCGTATACAAAATGTGTGTGAGAAGCGGGAAGTGCTGTGAACAATTCTATTTGCCGCAAGAAGGAGATTTGTATGTAAATTTATGAAGAAAAGTCTTAAAATATAGCCTCAATTGTTGCGGAAAAATATTAAGTTGAGACAAATTGAGACAAACTGCTGTGCAAAGTATGGGTGACATTGATTGATTGATTTATTTTGATATGTTTCACGACACTTCGAGAGAGAGGGAGAGAGAGAGAGAGAGAGAGAGAGAGAGAGAGAGAGAGAGAGAGAGAGAGAAAAAGAGAGAGACAAACAGACAGAGAGAGAGAGACAGACTGAGTAGAGACACAGAGACAGAGAGAGATGTCCTTACTTTCGGTGAGGTCTTTTGCCTGTACTCTCTGTACCCCGGTGTCTCCCTTGTTTACATTCATAACGAATGTACTCATATCTCAGACGGAGAGCTTCTGGGTGATGCACGGCGATCTGTCGGGGAAAATAAAATACAAACATTGTGATGTGAGCATAATGGTTGGATGTGGAAGCCATTTGGAGGGACAAATTAGTTTTACTCTTAGTAGAGGTTTTACGACGCTCGCAACTCGCTGCATTATAAGGTCATATATGAGCGCCAAGGAGGGATAAATTGGTACAGAATAGACCATTGATTGAGTTTAGTGACTGGACCTTGAAGTTGGTTCGCGGGTTAAATTTGCATGGAGAATAGAAAATTGAGCTTAGAGGTCAGCCTTGAAATTGAAAGCAATTTAGCCCCCCCCCCTATAAAATTAAATCTCACTCCTGACAATTTTTATTTACTGACGTCCGGCTTGCAGAAATCTTAGTGAGTGTATGAAAGACAATCTGGCCATTCATTGTCGGGGCTGAGTGAAGAAACAAAACGATAACTGCTCATGGAATTGAAGAAAATTAAAGAGCCTGCCTTTGTCCCACTCTGAGTCTGAGTTCAGTATCAGACCTGTAAGTGGGTCCTGATAAAATAGCAGGAAAAATTTTTCAAAAATAAAAAGATCATAACTAATAAGATTAGCTATTTTCAGCTGCATTCACGTAGAAAATACAGAATAAAAGATTTTAAAAACTTCTTGACAGAGGTCTGTAGTATGTGCTTAGACTTCTATTAGAGAAAATTAGCTTCTTGTTACCCTTCAAAGTAGAGCAAACAAGAAAGGGCCGTTCTAACGTTCTTGGGAAGGTTACTCAACAACACTATGCATTCTTTGTCAAAATTCATGAAGGAATGAAAAATCAAACATGATATATAATATGCTTGTCGTTTTCAGTAAAAGTGACTGGAATGAATGTCTCGTTGAGTAAGCACTAGATCTAGAACTGAAAAATCTCACCATGTGCAAATAGACTTTTGTGACACGTGTTGCCCTGTAATTTGAAATAATTCTAAAATATTCCAACCTTCGCCTTCAGCTCCTTAAAAAAATGTGTACGTTCAAATGGTAAAAACCCACTAAGATCTAGATCTAGATCAAGAGGCTACTAAGGTAGCTGTCTATCTATAGTAGAGTCTCCTAGACTTGTAGATCTACATGCTGACTAAAATTCAGAGGGCTTTTTTTTCAATTTCTATAAAACTTAAATCTAGAATCTAGATCCAGAATCTACATAGATCTAGATCTATCTATTTTATTAGAAGAAGCTGGGTTTTTTAATCACTTTTCCATCAAATGGGTCTGAATAGGTTTTTCCGATCTGTCAAATGGATTTTTAAAAGTGATTATATTATAACCAAGTTGTTATGTCTTGTACATTGCAATGTCAGCGCAATAATGCGTAGATTGACGAATACACAAACATTTAGTCGCCTAATAATGAATGCGCCGATTGATGGAAAAATGTTAAATCATCGACATCGTCATTTTTATCGGAGGGTGAAGAAGTAGGTTATAATGTCAAATCATGCATAGATCAACATACTTACAGTTTCGCTATCATAGTCATAGTTTACGTGTATCATACTGAATTGTTACTTCCTGTTTGTCTACATCTACTCTATGGTAATCGATCAAAGGCCTACCCCACGACTCTTTAAAAGTGACTTTAGTTTTTATATGTGTGTGTGTGTGTGTGTGTGTGTCTGTGTGTATGTGTATGTGTGTGTGTGTGTGTGTGTATGTGTATGTGTATGTGTATGTATGTGTGTGTGTGTGTGATACACGCTGTTTATAGATCTAGTACTTTAGGTACAGTCGAACCTGCCTTAACGGAAACCTGTATAAAACAGAAACCTGACTTAACAGAATCTCCCCGCTCCCCCCTAGATATATTCCTCTTTAATTACCTGTATAAAACGGAAACCTGTCCAACGCGAAAATGGAAAGAAAAATCCGCTCCCTTCCGAGGGTTTCACCTGTCTAAGACGGAAAATGCTTTGTCCGCTCATCCCTGATTTGAAACAAAACTCGCAAGTTTGGTTCCGCCGGCTCTAAACTTAACGCCATGGCCATGCCGCTAGGCGAGGAAGGGGAGTAGGGGTGCAATGGGGGTAGAGTAGAAGTTACCCTATGTTACCACATCATGTGAGCACTGAGCGCTGCAGATGGTCAGTGTAGTGTGGGTGTGATATCTCACGACTGCCCGTGAGAGTGCTCGAGTAGCCAGCCACTACGGAAACTTTCCTGGGTAGCCAGAAGCCAGAGGTGTGAAATTAGATTGATCAATGCCTGCCGCCCTGATCGTACGGCCTGCTGAGAAAAGAGTTCCTCGAATCGTTGTTACAATGATGGCAGTGAGGGGTGGCATTGGTGGGTGGGACTAAGGGTGGAAGCAAAGGTGGTGTTCAAACGTTTCTGTTTTTAATAGGTCAAACAGTGGTCCTATGAAAGGCAAGCACTGGTGGTCATTGGATAAGTAAGACTGACGCATGTCACTATCAGACATAGCAGCTGAGAGGTGTGAAGTTTTGACCACTGCTTGCCGATCGGACAAGCGATCCTTGATCCCACCGGATGGGCCTTTGAACCCCCCCTAAATTCCCCTGTCTAAGACGGAATTTTTTTCCCTCTCCCTTGCGATTCCGTATTACACAGGTCCGACTGTATTCCCCCCCCCCCCCCCGTCTCACACTCAGCTACCAGCTGTCTATTGTCTACTACTAAATATTGATGCGCTGAACACGAATATCAACTTCATTTCCATCGCAAATTAATGGTTTTTGAAATATTTTATTGTTTTTAATCGAGATATACACATGCCTTGGACCAATCGGGGGGGGGGTTCCAGGGGGGCCTGCCCCACTGGGGTAAAAGAAAATCTGGGGGGTTACAGGGGGGCATGCCCCCATGTTTTTACCCATAATTTGATATTTCACAGTTAGATTTGAAATTGTCTTGAAAATAATTGATTTGCGACAGTTTTAGTGGCTTTAAGTGTGATTTGCAGCAAACAGTACATCAGTTTACCCCTGAAACAGTGCATCTGTGTGCGGGAGTGAAAGTAAAGATTTACCGTACTTTAGTTAGCCTACTTTTGACTGACAGTAGATCTACAGCTTATTTTTATGATGAGATTGAGAGTAGGCCTATCACTATCATAGGCCTATCTTGAAAAGAAAAATAGATCTAGCCCTTCCTCCCTCCCTCCCTTGCCCAAAAGATAGGCGCTTTTTCGGTAGCTCCCACCCCGCAATTTTATTCACGGGTTTGGGCCACAAGAGTAGGGGGGTTTCAGGGGGGCTTGCCCCCCTGACCTAATAAAAATAGGAAGGGGGGTTTCAGTGGGGTATGCCCCCCTGAATTTTACCAAGAAAGTGGCTATTCTCACCCGCCGGAAGTTCTCGCAAGATCAACTCCTCCCCTCTTCTCTCTCTCTCTGTCTCTTTCTGAATACTGTCTATCGGTGTGGACGATCAAATTGACCAAAACAAAGTTTAAAAAATGATGTTAAAACCCAAAAGTAAATTAATTTGGTTGTCTACAAAGATGCTACGGCTATTTAACTTTTCGAATCGAGCCGAACTACGCGGGTCACCATTTTGTTTTGCCCGGAAATTCTCGCACTACTCCTCTCTCTCTTTCTCTCCACTGCCCACAGACAAAATTGTACGCTTTCAGTAGTAGGCAACAGTTGTAATGGAACGTTTGTTCACGGCACAGAATTCTACAATTTTTCTGTTATCACAGTGTAGAATTCTGTGGTTTAGGGTGAACGCAAAATTTGGTGAACGCGCACCGGGTGAGAATAGCCACAAGACTCGCCTGCACTATTCTAGAGGTGGCCTTACCATAATTTAAATGTTTTGCAGTTGTTAGGTTTGATATCTTAGCTCACCGCGAATCAAACGTATAGATCTAGATCTAGATCTAGATGTAGGTCAGGCTCAAATAAGGGGGGTGGAACTACCGAAAAAGCACCAAAAGATACCCCCCAATACCAAGAAGAGGTATCAAATACCATGCTATAACACAATACGATGCAATGAGAATAGCGCAACTTACCTGCTTCGAAGACTTCCTGACAAAGAGGACATTTCGCTCTCTTTCAAAGGTTTTCAGGGCGGCCTCAAAACTTTGAAAAGAATCAAACTTTTGCCCCGGTTCCATCAGTGTATTCATCAGGAAAATCGGGAGAATTGACTAAGGATCTAGATTCTAGCAGGACAGTGAAAGTGAACGTATCGGACGAGCGCTGAACAAACGCTGCCTAGCAGCCTGATGCCGAAAGTGAAAGAAAGAGCATCGCGGAAGCTTTTCATAACGTCCACTTCCGGGTCAAGAGGCACAAAGCATTTAATTTTGATTGGTCTATCTCCGGCTGCTTCTGACAGGGACGTCGGAGATGTCTCTGACGGAGATAGCCTAGCCTAGCATAGACCAATCAAAATGCCTTTTGCCTCAAGACCTAAAATCTAGTAAAAACATTTAGGCCTAGGGAGGGTTCTGTTTTAAATTGTTAGGCTTGGCCTAGGTTTGAAGTTTTCTTGAAAATAATTTATTTGCCACAGTTTTAGTGGCTATATGTGTGATCTGCAGCAAACAATACGCAGTTTGACCCATCAAAGCAGTGCATCTGTGTGCCGGAGTACGTCCCTGAATAGTTCATCCTGGGTGCTCGCCGGAGACGTCTCCGATCTTCTGCCTCTCGGATAGATACTGCGAATAAATAGATCTAGGCCTATGCTTAATCCCAAAGTATGTGGGCCCAAGAAACAAAGTTGAGAAAGAAACTAGGGCAAGCACGTTTCTTGTTGTGTCTGGAAGTACCTGCACAGAGTAGCAATCTCTCATCGTTCTTTTTGCGTTTTGTACTCTCTTGTAATTAACACCTCTAATGTCCACTTTTTACATGATGTAACTCTATTGCAAGCTGCGTAAAACTCATACAAGTGCTAAAACAATAAACAAGACTTGCCTGAAACTCCGAACAAGAAACTAAATAACAGATCTAGATCTTTAAGTAGGCCTCTAGTGGAGCGCTTTCTCTCGATCTCGCGTCTCTCTCCCGAGTGTCCGCGAAAAGAAGAAGAGATTAATCTAGATATCTAGATCTAGATCTACTACTGAACTCAACACTTGCACGTTTTCGGCGACTACAGCTGCTTAATAGATGCAGGCTCGTTCAAGTAGTTCAGCTTAGACAGGCTTAATTAGCTCGTGGGGCTTCAAATGCTTCTCCTCATTATACAAACACATTAATGTTTATCTTTTTGTGGTTCGCTCCGCTTGGCTAGGCAAGGTTCTGAATCCAGTGAATCCAGTGGGTGGATTGTGTACACAATCAAAGTTCAGAGTTCAGAGTTCACATTTCACATCTCGATTGCTAAATGGCGGTGTCATGTTTTTACAAGCAGCTGGTATAATAAAATATTGCTGCGGGTGGCTGTCTCTTTAACACGGCTTACAAAAATTGATGTGTTCTGAAAATGAGTTAAATAAAGATTTACATATTATTATTCTGGTACATTAAGTTTGTTGTTTCAACAAAAACACCAACAACGGGGGCTCTTGTGGACAAGTCTTAGTATGGTCTCATTCAATATTATAGATCTGTCCTGGGTTCGAAACCTGCACAGCGATGGAACATTTTCTTCTCTACAATTCTCCTTTCAGCCCCTTTCCCTTTCCTGTCATTTAATTATGATCTGTCATCTGCTTTCATCTCCCCCCCGCTCTTTTGTTGTTTTTGTTGTATTGTTTTTGTTTTGTTCCTGATCCCTCTCTGGGTTCATCACCCGCCTATGCCTGCATG